ACTGATAAACTCATATACCTAATGATTCATCTCCTTTTACATACGCTAGGAAAGTGGTATTTCATTGTTAAAACTGTAATTGGGTTAGTCAGCCAGAGTGAACCTCTAATTGTTTCCAAATGCTTACTTTTTGGTTTGGATGCAACTCCAAGTCTTAGCTCAGTCAGGAATTTGCTAAGCTTTTTCTTTCCTACATATCCTTTCATTATGGCTAGATAGATCCATGCTAAAATTTGTTTTATGATCCCCATTAAGATAGTTAATCAGAAAAATATGGTAACTAACTCCTCTGTTAAGCATAATTTTAAAAGGCAAAAATTTAGAGTTTTACAGGTTTCTTTCTATTTTTAGACCTTTGAAATTGTTATGAAAATTGACATTAGTTCTAAATTGTATGACACTGTGATAGTAAGCAACTCTTTTTTCCCAACCTAATTATAACACCTACTGCTGGAATTCTTACATTATTTTAAAATTGGTCATGGAGAAAATTAGTGTGAAACATCCATGTGCTTTAGTGAAATGATTGCTACTGAGGAATCTTAATGTTATATTAAAATTCTACCTAAGCAAACACCCCACCCACCAGCTCTTACAGCTCAAGGTCCTTGGGGGAAAAGAAATCACTAAACCTAAGTATTCTAACGCAATAAATATTTTAACAATAAGTTTTCTAAAACAATAAAAGTTGTTTGCAAAAATATGTTTTATTCCTACTGCTAAAAAAAACAGACAAAGAAAGTTTCCATTGAATTGATCGCTACTCACGGAGGCCCCATGTGTATCAAAGTAGAACTTTTGCTCTATAGTGTTTAGTGGCTGATTTCTTTTTTTTTTTTTAAACTTAATGCCAGCCTTTCTTTGAGGTGCCTCTGGGTGGACTTGAGTTGCCAACCTTTCAGTTACACTACCCAGGGTGTTGAGGGCAGCTGCTAAGTAGTCCACAGTAATTTCATTGTCCATATTTATGTGCCTTCTGTTGCAATTGAGTCCATGTCCTCTTGTATTCCTGTTTTTCTTTTCTCTCCTTTTTTTTTTTATATTTTATTTTATTTTTTTTTATTAGGATTTGGGTGAAGATTTACAGAGTAAATTCACTTTTCATACAGCAGTTCACATATACTTTGTAAAGTAAATTATTAGCATGCTGATAAGGAAATTATTTACCAAAAGTTGATAGCAAATGAAATGGATACAGGCATAATCTTATGTTGTTAGTTGCTCTCAAGTCACCTCTGACTCATGCTGATGCCATGTACAACAGAACATCTGTACTATCATCACTATCATCGGTGTGCTCAAGTTCATTGCTATGACCACTGTGTTTTGAGTGCCTTCTAATCTAGGGGACTCATCTTCCAGCACTATATGGGACAATATTCTGTTGTGATCCAGAGGATTTTCATTGCCTGATTCTCAGAAGACTGCCCAACCTTTCTTCCTAGTCTGCCTTCGTCTGGAAGCTCTGTTGAAACCTGTCCACTATGGGTGACCCTACTGGGATTTGAAATATTGGTGGCATAGCTTCTAGCATCATAGTGAAATGCAAGCCAACACAGCATGACAAACTGATAGATGATTGTTCAGATATAATCTATAGTTGTTTTGAATTCAAAAGTGCTTTTTGCCAAATGGAGGGCCCTAAATAAGTGTCTCTTACCAGAGTTTCATTGACCTCTGGATAGACATTTTCAATGGTTATGAATTTTTCTTTCAAATTATATATTATGTTTTTGTTATTCCCATTGCCTAGCACATACTGGCATATGATAAGCATATGTTTTTTAAATGGAATTTTTCAAAATTGAATTTGAACTTTAAAATTCTGATCTGTTACTCTAGATGCCTGCTCATAATTATCTCCTTACGCAGGTTATTTTGATTGTCTGGGCTTCCATTTCCACAACTGTAATGTTCTATCTGGTTCTAGAAAATCTGATGCCAAGGAGATAGTGGGTGCTTAATAATTCATACTTTGTATTGATTTGTTAATAAAATTTATTTGTAAGATTAGCTAATTAATAACTGAGTGAATTCGTTTGCCAAGTATATTTTATGCCTCATATGAAAGCATTAAAGGACCTCTGGTGGTGTATTATGGTGGCATTAAGGAGGTCTGGTGGCACTGTAATAAGGCAGTCAGCTACTAACCAAAAGGTTGGTGGTTCAAATCTACTAGCTGTTCCATGGAAGAAAGATGAGGCAATCTGCCTTGCAGCCTTGGAAACCCTATGGGTTCTAACACTATGAGCCAGAGTGGCAGTGGGTTTGGTTTCGGTTGGTTTGTGGTGATACTGCTTTTTTAAAATGTATTAAAACAGCATGTACCCTTCATTTTCAAATATATTCTGTAATATTCCTAGTAGTTTGGCTACTCTTTCTTACTGAATGACAAATATTTTTAAGATAGAAGAACTTGTCTGCTTAACACACTCCTTTTTATAGATGGGAATAGTGATGTTCTGGAAGGTTATGCAGTTTGTCTAAAGCTATTTTAATGGTAGACAGAATTAGAGGTCAAGTATCATGATTCCATTTGAGTCTGTTTTCCAACTCACGTGTCTCCAGGCCTTAGTAATAGTATCTTGGAATAAAGATTGGAGAAGGAAAGGTCAAAATAGCTAAGCTTGGAAGACATATTTAGAAAAAATATTTTTTCCTATTGTTAAACATTGGTTTCAAACAAAATGATTTCTTGCCTCATTTTCTGAGAAGTACAATAAGGAAAGTAAGAAAACATAAAAATTTTAATTTTGATACATAAAAACCTTCCTGTGACATGCTTTTTTTTCCTGTGAAATGGGGATGGAGAGAAGAAAAAATGTCATGTAATTTATTTTTAAGTGGCTAATGATTTGACTGCTAACCAGAAGTCTGGCAGTTCAAACCTACCAGCCACTCCTCAGAAGGAAGATTGGGCAATCTGCTTCCGTAGTGATACCACCTCGGAAAGCCAAGGAGGGGTCTCTGTGAGTCGGAACTGACTCGATGGCAATGTGTTTTGCGTTTGGTCTACCAACATGTTTTTCTTTGTTTTTTGTTTTTTAAATCTTGGAAGGCTTTAATTAATAACAGTATACTGGATTGAAACATACCACTTTTCATTTTAGATGAAGAAATAACCAGTATTCTTTCACTGTCAAAATCCTTAAATCTGCTTCCAGTTGCTTTCCACCAATTTATTCCTCTTAACAAATTGCACCAAAGCTTGGTGACTAAAAAGACAAGTTTTTATTATTTTTTTTCTGTGATTCAGAAATACTGGGAATGGCTAATGGGGTTCTCTGCAGTCAAGGTGTTGGCCAGGACTATAGTCTTCTTAAGGCTCCTTTAGGGAAGAATCTGCTCACATCAGCGGTTGTTGACAGTATTTAGTTCTCTTGGGCTGCTCGACTAAGGGCCTCAGTTCCTCACTAGAAGCATCCCTCACTTCCTTGCCTGTGAGTCTCTTTACAGGATAGCTCACAATATAACAGCTATGAGTTAAGTGGGACAGCATGAGAGGTGGATGAACAAGACAGTTTCTTTTAACATAATCTTGGAAGTAACTTCTCATCACTTTTGCCATACTCTTTTCATTAGTAGCAAGAAGTCACTAGGTCTAGCCCACACTCAAAGGGAGGGAATTACACAAGGGCATGAATGCCAGAAACGCAGGAATCATGGGGACCCATCTTTGAAGCTGCCTAGCACAGTGCATTTGAGGAAATAAAACTAGAGGCAGAGGAACTACTTAAGCTATTATAATAATCCAGGTAAAGGATATGGAGATTATTGTAGATGTGTCATGGAATGGGAGGGAAGGTGATGGAGGCAATAAATATTTAGGATGTTAAATCATGAGAACTTGTTGATTTAGAGCATGGGAGTTATAAGGAAGAAGGAAGAATTAAGGGTGCCATCTAAATATTCTTGATTCTTAAATAATCATCTATCTGTAAAATATTTTTACTAGAAAGTGATGGAAACTCTTGTCCACATTGAGCTTTTTCATCTTCATTAGCTTTCATTCCCGCCTATATTTTAGTCATCTAGACTTGACCTTGACATTGCTTTCACTGTTTTTTTTCCACAATAGCCAGTTGTTGTTGTTGTTAGGTGCCATCAAGTCGGCTCCGACTCATAGCGACCCTGTGTACAACAGAACGAAATGCTGCCCGGTCCTGTGCCCCCTTAGCCAACTTCAAGCAGTAGAGTGGTGGCTTACTACCTTGACTCATTGGAATCACCTGAAGAACCTTTTCAAAATGTAGATATCTAGACCTTCCCTCAAAATTCTGGTTCAGTATGTTAGAAATTAAAACTCTAAGGTGAATTTTCTAAGGTGAATTTGATGTGTAGCTAAGTTAGAAAATGCCATTAGCATCACCCTAACCATTACAATTAGCAGTTGTTATGTTGCATTTAATCATCCATATATCCTAAAGCAGTAATTGCCAAATACTGGTTGAAGACTAGCTACACCATCAGTTCATGCAGACTTTTAGGCCCTGTCTATTCACTAGGTCTGTGGTAATGTCTAGGTTTCTGTATTTTTTAAATAATGAAACAGGACTGATGTGTTAAGCAGGTTGAAGTATATTTTATAAATGGACTGAAACAGCATATTAGTTTTGTTTGTATCTTCTTTAACAGTTCTGTTCAGATAAATGCATAGAAATATGAAGGATCAGTTGGAAATACTGGCTTTAGAAATTACCTTGGAAGGTTATAATCTTTGGAGTCATGTTTCAAATAGTGGTTGAATGACTGCTGTGTTTAGATTTTTAGATGGTTTAGTGTACTAAGTATTATAACTTTAGTCTGCTATACACTAATACTGTGTTTTCTCTAGTTCCTGTATTTTAGATAATGGTTTCCTGATCAAATTAAAAATTTGGAACAATGACTGGGTTCTTTTTTTCATTCTGATAAATTTTATTATATTCTGTATTACTTTATTGCAGGATGGGATTGTCAGAATGTGATTTTAACAAATTGGTTTTGTTCCTTTTCTTTAGTGTCATTCCTCTTCTAAGAGAATCTGTTGGAATATTGATGCAGAGAACTCCTCCCCTGTTGGAAAATACTCTGCCTCAGTGTTATCAGAGGGTAAGGTTCAGAGCTCCCAGGCAACTGGATTTTATGTTGTTTTTAAACTGTTAGGGTTTTTAACTTTTACAGAAATGGGTACCATGTGTGAATAATTTAGTATTTCTTCCCAGATTGAATGCTGACCATGAATGCCATTTATGTAAACCAAAACAAAATCCTTGGAAAATATTGAACTTTACTAAAGAAAATGTGGTAAAAATTTGTCCTCATCTAGAAATTGAAGGTTTCTTTCAAAATACAGAATATGAATAGCAGATGAGATAAGCATTTAGTCAGCATATATTTTTTGAGCTCCTGCTTTGTGGCAGACATTTCCAGGGTACTTGAGATGTCATGGTAAACAAGACAGACATCATTTCAAGGCACTTAAAGCCCAGTGGGGATACATAAATATATAAATAATTACAGTAGTAAAAATAAAACAGGGTGATATGATGGGTGGCTATATTGGATTCACTGAGGAAGTCATATTTAAGTTGAACTTTGATGACAAGAAGGAGCCAGCCATATGAAAATCTTGAAAAAGAGTGTTCCAGGCAAAAGAAAATGCTTATAACAAAAGTATTATGGCTGGAACTAACTCAGTGTGCTTGGGAAGCCAAAAGCTACTGTGGCTAAAGCATAATGAATAAAGGGAAGAGTGGCTTGTAAGATTGGAGAGAATGGCAGGGGCCCGATCAAGCAGAAGGTTTGGTCATAAAAGAGGTTTAGATTTAACTGTAATTCAATGGAAAGCATTGGAAAGCTTTTAGGTGGGGAAGTATCATAAATTTAAGTTATATTTTTAAAAGATTATTCTGGTGGCGTAGTGCCTAAGGTATCTGACTGCTAACCAGAAGGCTGGTGGTTCAAATCTACCAGCCACTCCTCAGAAGGAAGACTGGGAAATATGCTTCTGTAGAGATACTGCCTCGGAAACCCGAGGAGGAGTCACTATGATTCGGGACCGACTTGACATCAGTGAGTTTGGTTTGGTTTTGGTTATATAAAGAAGAAATTCTAGGGAGGAGGAAAACTTTTTTGAGATTGTGAATTCTATCACTTCCTAAGAGTCTACTTCATGGATTCTGTCCTTTATTTCCTTCCTTCCTTATTTCTTGGGCCTTTCTTTTTTTAAACTTCCTTAGCACATTTGTGTTTATTCTTGTTCTCTGATCGATAAGTTTGAAACTGAACTTTCCCAGCTTCTGTCTCAGCTGTGCCCTATAAATTTTGATATGAGTACTCTATACATAGCAGCTCAATACATACTTGTTAATTAAGTCAAACATTCCCTCCTGTTTTTAACTAGCGAGTCTGTTAACTGACATTGCACAATAACCTAAGTGGGAGAGGACACTTATATTTTATTATGTTAATATCTATACTTTATATTTTAGGTGCAGCAGTTGCAAGGTGTTTACAGTTTACAAGAGCAGCATTTCTGGACTTTATGTTCTGACGTTTATGTTGGGACCTTGAAATTAGTGGTAGCCCCTGATGCTGATGCAAGGTGGATTTTAAGCCAAACGCATAATATTTTTACTCAGGTATGCTATTTTATTCACTTCTTTTGAGGATCTTGAGATCTACTACATACATTAGTTTTAGAAATATTTAATATTTAAACATCTTAAATATGTACTACTACATTATGAAGTAAAGCTTTAATTTTTTTCAACCACAGAGATAAAATATGGGAGAACCTTATTTTAGTTAATACTCTTACAGAAGATAGTTCCTTTTTTTTCTTTAATGGTTGTACTGATTTGCATCCCTTCAAGAGAAAGTATATTCTCCTTTGAGAGGCACACAAGAGGTACAGACAACAAAGATAAACACTTTTGAATATACAATATTGCATTATCAGTAGTAACAGACATTAATACACAGGCAGATACATAGGTAGACAGACTGTGAATGATCTGGGCTGTCTAGACAAAAGAAAACATACCCATGACCACATATGAGTTTCGCAGATGACTATTTCTACAGTGTATTTGTATGTGTTGTAAGAATGTCCGTATAAATAGAACTAGCAAGGGGCAAGGTTATGG